AAACTTCAGTGTTAGAGGTGGGAGTGAATGGTAAAATTATCGTTTATGTGCGTCACAGATTCGATTAGGAATAAATGCCAAAACTTTTTTCAATTCAATGCCAATTCGTTGACCACTATCAAGATTTTGAAAACTAATGGTGGAAGCACTGGTTCCTTCCCTCTAGCCCTCTCACCAATTTCTCTTCGACTGACGCAAGCGACGAGCAACGGCCAGTCGGTGTTGTAAACTGTGATGAGGCAAAGAACGGTTTAGCTCTTCGCGCGACTGCGAGCTTCTTCTGCTAAACAACCATGTAAACTTATACATAGCATTAGCCCTAACAGGGTCTCCAGGATCCGGCCCGCCAGCATCAAGATGACCCGACAACTACAACCAAGTATATTTTATATTTATATAATTATATTAATATTATATGAATGTATTTTTTTTTTTAATTGCTCTAAGAAGTTCTTCTATTGAGAAGCAGGTCGGCAAACAACTCTTACAAGTGGATTCAAACATTAATTAGTTATCTTATGAAACACTAATGTTTTTGTTAGATCCAACTCTTTTGACACATGTATATATATTATACAAGTGTAAAAAAAAATATTATATAGATCCAATGCACCATATTATTCATATTCCATCAAATAAAAAACATGCAATTCAAATGGCTATAAATGTAAATTGATTATGTTGTTGATAATAATAAAGAGAAAATGTAAGAAATTAAGAAGACATTCTATTTCAAAAATAAAATCATTAAAAATAATAATATATAATATTTTATTTAATTGAATTAGTGTACTTTTATTGCATGAAACATAGATGACATAGTGTATCAAATTCTTGCAAGAATTTCTTATAAGAGAAAATATAATTTTAGTTACTAATTTAAATATGTAAAGAATAAAATGATATTTAAGTTTAATTTAGGACAAAAATTTTTGAAATTTCAGTAAAAAAAATAAAGGTTATCCTTATACAAAAAAAAGTTAATTTTATATTGATATTACAAAATTTTAAGATTTTTCTTTTCTGAATGTAATTTAACACTGAAATTTGGAAATTTGACATTAATATTCCAATATGTCAAAATTTGACAATAATATTTCAAAGTTGTTTATTTATCAAATTCTGAAATATCAAATAACAAACGATTTGTCGAGCTTTGATGTTTCAGTGTCAAATTTTGACCCAAAAAAAAAATGTAGTGTCAAATTTTAAAATATTAATACCAAATTTTGAAATAACAATATCAAATTACTAAATGACTTATTCCATTATTAAAATTTTAGAATCTTTTGGCCTCAAACTAAACAAAAATGCCATCCCCTTTTTTTAGCAAAAAAAGAAATTTCATTCCCTTTTAAATTTATTTTTTAATTGGAAAATGATACCATCATTCACAAAGGAATTTACAAGGAAGAATATATACAACCTAAAGAGAAAACCCTTTTAAATTTCTACACAGCTATCATTCTAAATTTAGGAAAGATACTCAACCAATCTTTTTAACAACTTATGAGAATTTTATGATTTAACTTCCAAACTCTTTTAGTTAAAAAACAAAAATTCACAGAGCTTGCATGAGAATATTAAAGATAAATATATGGTTATGTAAAATAAAATAAAATTTGCGATAACTATATAAGATGAAAAGTCCTCATGGCATTTATTAAAGAAAAAGAATTAAGTTATATTTTTATCCTTGAATTTTTCACAAAACACCATGATCATTTTAAAGTTACAATGATACAATATTATTCCATTAAGTATTAAAAGATATGCAACGTGTACATGCATGGAAGTAATTTTAATTTAAGAATAATTAGTATGTGGCCCATGCTTTGCACGGATATCAAATGAATTGATAAAATATTATATTTTATAGCTTATAAATATCATCATTTATTAAAAAATATAAATAAATAAACATTTAAAAATTAATTTTGTGTGAAGAGAAAATTAAAATATGCCATATTTAAGTGGTTCTATTACTTGGCATAACCCTAATTAGAAGATCATTAACACAGTTGTTTTTTTAGAAATGTTACTGTTAAGTTGCATGCATAACAAAGAAGGATTTAACTTACTCCAAGTACTTGAAGGATAAAAAAACTAAACTATATGTTTAACCTCCTAAGTCACCAAAATCAAATAATGAAAATGAAATAAAACACTATTTTAGGTCATTACAATAGGCAAGGGCTTGAATTCAAAATAGTTAAAATTGAGATCCTAAAAAAATCCTTTTAAAAAAGTATTTTAAGTTCAAATAAAAATTTAAAATATATATAAAAGAAATACAGAAACATTGCAAAAAAAATTCAGCACAAGCATACATCAAATGATGGCAAATTGGACATAGTCCACTTTGTTGTATTTGTCGCGAGACATGGCATGCGGGAGAAAACCTCTTGCTATGATGTGCACTGTGACGCAAGCATGACAACTCTTTTAAAACCAACTTTCGAACAAAATATCACCCTCACTATAGAGACCTTATATGCACTAAAAACCATGCAAGACACTTAGTTTCTTTTCCTTCCACCATACCAATCCTTATAAAATACTTCCTCCAAACTACAATATAAGTCATACTTAATTAATTTACTATTTACAAATAATATTATTTGAAATTTTAAATTTTTAAAATATTCATGTCTTTTTATCTATACCCCATTAAATACTTTATATAAAAACCTTAATAATAATAATTACAATTTTAATGCATGATTTTTTTTAAAAAAAGAGTAATAAATAAAGTACAAGTATGGTAAAAAATAAAATAAATGTAAAAATTATCTAATACCTATAATTTTAAATAAATAAAATCTTTAAAGCTGCTTTATATTATAATTAAAAAGAATATAAACATTGATTTGTTTTTACCTTTTACTCTCTCCATCCCTATATATGAGAGGTTTTTAATTGATTATGTAAATCAATAAAAATTAATTATTCACTTAAAAGCATAACAATATTCTACCTTTACACCTAATTATTATAAATAATAAACAAATCTCTTTTTCAAAATGAATTTATGGGATACTTTTTTTTTGTTCCTTTCCGATATAATAAAAATATAATGATCCATTTATAAAAAAATATACTAACATCTTTATTATAAGAATAAAAAAAAAGTTCTAAAAATTATAGATAGAACAATGGAGTGAGTATTGCTTTGCCTCGCACCACAAAAGGAGCCTTTCTTTTCCTTCCCATATCAAACCAATATTTCAATATTTTCATCCAGAGTTCATAAATATATCTTCCATACATGTATCCATTTGGCAATTAAACCAACATTAACATGATCAAATATATTTCTCTTATATAATATAATTAAATTAAATGACACCCAATTAGGCATCATGGAAAATCACAATCATTTTTTATTAATTAATGCAAGAAGAGGAGGAAACAGAACCTATACTCATGCAATCTTTCTTGCGTATATTTGCTGACCCTATATACAAAAAATGTAACCTATAAATTTCCAAGGACATTGGTAACTCAAAAACCTAAAGTTACAAGCATCCTAGAGATTTTTTAATTGAACTTCACTTGAATTAAATAGAGAAATAACACAAAGATGCAAATAGGTCCCACATTTTTTCTTTTCTCTCTCCATTATTTCATCTGAATTAATTTCAAAAGATTGACTTCAAATTCTCCAAATGCTTGCGTGCAGAAATATCTTGCCTCAACTATCTCCAGCAAATTTATAATCTCGCGCATGAGAGGGAAAGACAACACAAAAGTCATGAGAGAGAAAAACTGGGACCCACCTCCCTGACTTTCTCTCTCCGATCCTATTCCAAATATCAAACTATACATCACATTTGGAGAAGATTATTCACTGTAACTGACACAGAATTTGTCCGCTGCAGTCCTGTAGTATCTCTAAAGCTTTAGATTCTAAAACCTATCCAGACAAGCAATAATCTTAATTCTTAACATAAACAAGAATGCCAAGAACTACTGATTCCATTAAACGTGAAACATTCGAGCAAATGCACAAACTTATCATGCATTAAATATTCCACAGTGTAAGTACACCATAATTAGAGTTTCACAGGACAAATGCCATCTTACCATCCTTTTTATTTCATTTTAGTAAAAATACAGGAAACTCAATCATCATCATCAATATCAATATCAAATCTAAGCATGCAGCGCTGTTCACAAGCTGTAAAGAATACAACTCAAGTTTTCAGACTCCAAGAAATACATAAGACCAACCTACTTAAAATAAATAACATTAGACATGATGAAAAAGTTGAGAGAAGAGTTTCCTAATACAAAGACAAGTACGAAAAAAATTCCCATTACAATACTTAAATAACAGAGACGCATATGAACCCCATCAAAGACAGTGCCTACAAGTATGGTAGTTACAGAGCCTATGGTTGGTTGGGGGTTGGGGGTTTCCCTGCCCATGTTTGATTAAGGCATGCCCATGTTTGATTAAGGCATGATGAAGGGGAGGGGAAGCCCCTCCCGTCTTAATTAAAAATATATTTTCATATTTTTTATATTTTAAAATCAAATAATTCGGTAAAAAATAAATATATATATTATTAGCATGCAGTCCCGCAAAATATTTAAGTAAATCAGATTGGTTTGCACTGTTGACAACCAGACAATGAACTATAGATAATCAGAACGACGCTGGAGCAAACGAAGGTGCAAAGGTCTGAAAGTGGGAGAGGTCGAGAAGCAGGGAGGGCACCACAGGAAATGCTGTCTTCCCAACATCTCTACACATGTGGAGAGAAAATTTCAAGGCAAGGGTGGTGGGACCCACACCTTATTTTCTCTCCCTACTTTTCCTTCCCACTAATTTTCTCTCCTTTTCCAGACAAGTGAAAATATGTTTTCTTTCATGTTTTCTCTCCTGGTTTTCTTTCTTCCTCCCTACTCTCTTCCCATCAAACAAAGAGTTAAATTATCATTACATGGTTTCCCAGAATAGGTCTCTTCGTCACATCAAACATGTGCCAACCTAATTGACCTCAATAATACTTGATGATCTCATTAAGAGGATGAAATTCAGAAGATCTATAGAACGATCTGGGTATTAGGTAAATTTTACACAAAGTGGGCCACTCGTAGCCTGTTCACAACCAAAACAAAGTGGAAAGCTGGATCATAAACTGCACTCAATTGCCATCAAGCATTCCAAACCCAAATCTTAAAATTACTTACAACCAACTCCATTCATCCCAATATATAAGGGTTTTTTTAGAAGCTTGTTTTGTCCTTAAATACAAGGGATGTCACGCTTTTTTTTGAATAATTAGACAATTTTTCCCTTATTGCCTTGAAAAAAGGAAGACATATTAATTATGTGCTTTACATACTACCATGAATGTTAATGTGACATTATTAGAGCCAAAATTGTTTAAATTGTTATGGTTTTATGTGCTTTCAATTAAATAACTTTTATTAGTATGTGCGATTTGATTAAAAAACACCTTATATATAAGGAAAGAGGGAGTAATAATTTTGAATACTAAAACACTTTATCTTGAGACAAACCATACCTGGAAAATTATGTCATCTGGTATATGAGGTAGAACCTCCCGAACAGTCTCAGCCATAGCCAGGAATATTTGCCAGATTATCATTTGCAAAACGTGGGCATTCCTCATATGTAGATTATCAGACCCTCCAGGGAACCTCCCATTCGGAGGAAACCGTGAACCACTTCCAGAAGCCTGAGAAGTATTCATAGGCCAAAGGCTCCAAGCAGTATCTTCAAGGGCATTCTGAGCATTTTCTCCAACAGATGCAAGATGTCTCATCATCATTTGAACTCTTCCCAATCCAACTGATCTGATTGCAGTAGAGGGACCAGCGCATCACCACCTTGATTGGCCAGAATGCAACAAGTTGAGTCCAGTCCTGCTGCACCCCTTTATAGGAGAAATGTAAAGCCAAACCAAAAAGGTGAATCAATTCATCAAAATGCCATTTTGTGAACCACAACAAAACGCTTAAATTTTTCAACTAATTTTAGGGGGAAAATGTATCATAGAAAGTTTGAAGTTTCAGTTGCTCATATTATGATATTATCAGTGTATTTAGTCATCTTGAAAAATCATTTTTCCATTAGTGAAAACTAAAACATTGTGCATTCAAACATTTTTTGGATCTGGACAAAAAATGACATTTAGGGCTTATATATACATATATGGACATTAAGCCGACCTCACCAAGTAACATAAGGCTACTTGCTGTCATCATCATCGTGTGTGTGTGTGTGTGGACATTGGACAATTCTGGCTCATGTACTATGCAGTTCTTCCCACAGTTTTTCATTTGAAAATGAACAGCTCATAATTTTCCTCTCATGTGCAAAAGATGACGCTCCAAAGTGAACTTTTATTAGGGCAGTTGTCCTCGTTAGAAATAGACAATACAGACCATAGGCTCCACAATGTATGATTTTCAGAGTTCAGAGAAACAATCATCTCAGTTACATTGTGAGGTGTGGAATCTGTCCAACTATAGAATTGGCCCTTCATTTTTTTTTTTTTTGGGTAAAGTTTGGATCAAAGGCTTATCAAGGTAAGGACAAGACTCATAGCTCAAAGAACACTTGAGATACTTACAAATTATCCACTCATATGTTAGCAGTAGATTCAAACCATACTTTATGGGGTATGAGATTTGAACCATTATTTGATGGCAGCCCTTCGACAATTCTCAGGCGCAACAGATTTGTCCAGAAAAAGCAGAGTTCAGCAGCAAAATAATACTACCTCCATCCATTTTACATGATGTTTTTTGAGTGATTTGACGTCCCATAGCATAAGAGATTTTGAGAAAATAACAATTCATTAATGAGAATATTCCAATTATTATTTCTCTCCTTAAATATATTCTTTCTCTCTATCTCCCTTATTAAATGAAGGGTATTTTTGAAAGTTTACAGAAAATTAAGATTCCAAACTGTATTTAATTGGCTTCATCAGCATTCACAATTTTACTAAAAAAATGTCTTATAAAATGAGACGAAAGGAGTATTTCCCCAATGCCACCAATTAGAGTTCTTTTTCATAAGCTTACTGTTTTTCAGCTCTTGGTCCTTTTACCCTAGGGACACACACGTGAATTGTTAACATAAATCAGTCAAGAGAGGTACTCTATCTGTCCATATTATAATGTACTTTTAACCACATTATACTCCTCCAATAAGTTAGTTAATTGTCTTTAAAATACACACTCTACCATATTTACCTTTATTTAATAAGGCATCTCAATCAGAAATTTATTAATTACACCCTCTAATTAAGGATATTTTGGAAAAACCTTATCAATTGCATATTGAAAGACCCACAATGCCTTATATTTTTAGACATGATACTTTTAAAAAATGTATTATAATATTGAAACAGAGGGAGTATTATTCATGATTTATTCAGAACATTGTCCAAATTTATCTGAATAACAAAAGCTTTAGAGACCAATAAGAAACATTACGCATACTTTAGGTCCCAATATAGTGTTTTGAACTTTAAAAATGCCATTCTGATAAACACATAAAATAACAACTGGAAACTAAAAATAGACAGAGAAGCAAAAAGGCTGTATAAAAATTTGAACCTCCAAGAAATGCCTTCCATATTTGGCGTCGGGTTGGGAAATAATCCAGCAGCCATAGCATGTCTATACCAGCGTTTGGCTGATCAAGCCCTGGACCTATTTGGCTTACATGTGGTTCTTCACTTGATGTTTCCCGCATATTGAAGCTTGCTTCATTTTGAGGCCGACCAACAAAGAGTGGCTTTCGACATGTCGGACAAGT